TTTCTAGTGAGTTTTCCACGTCTGGAGTTTCGAATATTTTGGTGTAATTTACGCACAAGTGCTACGTAATATGTCGCATTAACTGTGGTGTTGCGTTCTTTAAAGTCTGTAAGAAGAATGTCTTCAGAATCCCAAAAGATGGTAGGCATCACCTTTTTTGTCGACTGACAGACTCTGAACCTTCTTGGTGGTGCTTCTCCTTTTCATCTCCATTCCATCGACTCTGTTTTGTACTGAGGCTCTTAGTACAGAACCATAGCTTCATGCCCTGTGACATTTGTCTTCGGCGCGTCCACAGGATTTTCTCCAAAGAGCTCTAAAAAAGACTGAGCAGATTCAACACGACGCTGGCGCTGAATTGCTGGGAGATATTTAGGAACTCACATTGCACTAATTTTATTCATGCCTAAATGATCATGGACGATTCGGCGAAAGGTTGTATCTGAGAGTCCCGACTTTTGTGCTATTTCTTTCACCTTCAAGCGTCGATCACCTAATACGAGATCCTCAACAAAGGCAATATTGTTGTCCGTTAACACTTCCATGGGCCTTCCTGTTCTAGATCATCTTCCAACGTTTTCTGACCCATTCGAAACCGTTTTGACCACTCCTTCATCACAGAATAAGTCGGTGATTTTTGGCCATACACCTCGTCCAACCGATCTTTAATGTTTTGAGAGGAAATACCCCCTGGAGTGAGTAATTTTATACTCAATTTTCGTGACTTCTGCCATCGTGATGAACAAATGTGTGTTACCAAAAAACAATTTGGCGTAAGCTCCATTTTTGTATGTTCCAGACCTAATGAGACTGGAACTGACATATTCCTAAGATTTTGTCCTTCTACTGTACCTGGATCTATGCCAGGCCTGGAATATTTGGCGCTACCCTCGTAAAGCGTTCTTATTGGCTACCTGAAGTAAATTCTCAAGCAAATTCGAATTGAAAATATTTTCAACAAAGCTTGAAATCTTAACCACTGAAACAAGATTAAAATTAGAACTTTATTTTTATTTAATCGGAAAATGTGCGTTGGTGAATGGAAAAAAACTAATTTTTCTAACAAAATTTGAAAACAAAAACTGTTTTCCTTTTTTATAAAGTTTGAGGATCTTCCGATGTTTTTCAATAGATTTGAATTCTTAAATTTTTTCTCAGAATGGGTTTCGGATCCAATTGTTAACTTTGGAAACATTTTCACAAATTAGTTAAGATGAAACACCTGTATATTTAGTCACTAGATTAAATATTTTAGATAAAGCAGTTATTTTTTCTTTTAAATTAGAATAAATATACAAAAAGATACGGAACAAGATTAATAAACATTTTTGCTAAAATTTCAGCGGTTTTCTGAAATATTTCGTTATTAATAAAGAATTGGTTTCAAATTGGTTTTGAAATTATATACCCAAAAAATGAATTCCTCGTTAAAATTTGTTAAATTGTCTTTTGAGATGATGTTCTTAACCCAAGAATTTTCAACCAAATTTTGAAAGAAATCCTCCATGTAGGTTTTTTCTTTTTAATCTATGTAAAGCATCCGTATAAGTAAAGTTAAAAATTAGGCATAGTTATTAAAATACAAGCAAAACATGCCATGCTGCATTCAAAGCACTATTTATTTAACGAAATTTCGAAGTAATTAGTACCAGTTTTAGATAACTATCTAATAAATAACTTACGAATAGACGGACTGAAACGGGAAACCTACATTTTTGTATTACGTAAACTGTGAAAGGATAATTATATTGGAATACTTTCTTTTTTATATTTATTTTGGTATTTTTTGTTTCTTGCGATAACTGTATCTGCCACAAGATTTCCACACCAACTGTTTATTAAATAAGAAAAATAATAGTCCTAAATTTCGATGTCAGCTACAATTTTATTTTAATTTATTTGTGTTTGACGAACTTTGAAAGAGAACGTGACTTTGAAATATCTTTTAAACACGAGTACATTGTTAATATATGAGAATTTAATATACAGGCAGCACTGTCCGCTCTAGTTACATAAATGAAATATTCCCTTTTTAATATCAACGACTAGAGATTGCATAGATTTAAAACTAAAAGCATGCCATTACTCCCAAACGCACGAACTTAATTGCATTCCGTTAAAATGCTCCCTACACAAACTTCCACGTTATTCCGTGATTTATATCTTACAATATCGTTTGCCAGGCAGCACTTTTTTCACTAAACATAATTAAGTTGATATAACTTTGTCTCCATTTGCAACTTAACTCTCTAAAATTACCTGTTCATCTAGCGAGATAACCCGAATTATCGCGCACACAGTACGTGGTAAAAAGTGTTAGAGCAGAGGGATAGCAGCCTGGGAGAGACATTTATCTCTTCTGTTGTAGGTCGGCCTGCGCTCCCGAGATAATTACGTTGAAGGTGGGTAATATTTTCCAGTACTTATTGATTTTCCCTACCAAATTACCACATACTTGCCTTACGGGACATTCTAAATGAAACCTACCGTGAGGATTTACGAGGGCAATCGCTCAACTTGACGACCTAGAGCTTTTGCTAACTAAAAGAAATTTTCATAAACTCAGCGGAAAATAATAATTTCTCTACTTTAATTTTTTTCACGAAGATTAACGACTGAAATGTGGAACACCCACATATTATTTAATAACTACGATGATTCGTTAAAAATAACTTAAAAATGTGTTTTTGTAGGGCTCCTGCTTAATTCGACGTATGTATTTAAACTATTTATTTAATTTAATTTATACAGAATCTTTAAATCAATAATTTTCTACCCTACGCTCAGAAAATGGTAATATTTTGACGAATGTCCACTTACATGTCTTCTTGACGTTTCACAGCTTATAGAATATCAAAGTGTCGATCTTTCGTTCCGTCTGTCTGTCTGTTGGCGCTTTTAAATTGATCACGTCGTCTTAAACTTTTGTTGTTTTCAAAAATGTGCTGAAACATGCATTGGTTGCACTTCAGAGACGAAGTAAGTTCTGTCTAAACCACTTTAGTTCAACTTTATAGTAAGTACATATTTAGTGTTTCAAATTTTTTGTTACATTCAACGATCTGCGATATTTTTACAAAGCACCCTACAGGTGTTCCGAATTTCAGCAGGTGATCTTCATAGGTAAACAGTCGCAGTCGGAGTAAGTCTCCTTGCGTAGGTGTACGACAGAGGGAAAAGGGAAAACGTTTTGTTTATGTTGTCGAGGCATTCAGTCAGCTAGTGATTGACTCGGGGGTTGGTTTTAACAAAGAGATCAAAGGGAATCGAGTTCAATCAAAGGGGAAACGGTGAGAGCTACAATCAGAGGTGGGATCGAGTGGCAGACAGATTGTCGAGATGTTTTCATACGCTTGTTCGATTTTGAGGGAACCGAGCGAATTTACCTGCGGGTGTGTACATTTGTTATGTTTAATTAATTTTTGAGGCGGTTGTTTACAGGATGTTCAATACTCACTTTTTGATCCTCACAGGGTCGGCGGTTTGAACTCAGTGGAGTGTAATTTTTGCGAGAATGAATCCATTCTTGGTTGTATTCACTTGAAAAATATGCACTTTGTATGGTTTTGATTCTTGTTGTTTGATGAAATTTCCGCGGGAGTTTTTAAATAAAAAAGTTTTATTTTGCAGTGAAACACTGCTAATTTTAAATGTGGTTGTGGCATTATTTACAAACATTTCACGTACACAGACTATTTTTATTTACATCAACTTGAATCAACAGGTGATTTTTTTGAATTGGGATTTACAGCAACGGAAATGAGTGCAAACCTGTTAAAAAATTACATTCGCCTCTGAAGCGTAACAAGTGCATGTTAGGGCGTATTTTTGAATAAAGATTCAGTGATAGCTTAATTACATCCCGTACATTTTAAATATAATATAATGACAAACCTATATTAAAACAGTAAATGTTAATCGATGTTTTGCAGTCATTAAGTCAATATTAATGTGTTAACGTTATTTAAAGCTTTAACACATACTATAAAACTTCATTCTACCAAATTTTATTCCATTTTGTTTTTTAGAGTTTTGCTTGGGGATTGTTTGACAGAAAGTAAATAGCTTTTATTTCAGAGTAATCGACTATTACTCATTTATATATCGACTTATATCATTGCGTTATGAAACGCCAAGAAAACACATTCATTTTTTTTTTAACTACCATATATTTTTTACTATTTACCCTTTTTGATGTCAGTATCTGAATAATCGAACCTTAAATCTTGAAAACTTAGAGTTACTTAAAAATACATAACAACGCGAGCGATTTTCTTGGAGATCCATCACTTTAACGTTATTTTCATGTTAATTTTATACACACAAGGAAATCTCGGCGATATAATTGGACTCAAAGTTGATTGGAATTTAATATTTTAAAATACGTTGTGAGAAATTTCTGCAACAACATTTGTTTATGAATAATTTTAAAAGCTTTTTCACTAAAACAGGACCCTTCTGCATTTCGTCGTATTTATCGTAGGATTATTAGACATCGCCAAGTTTTAGTCCATTAGATTTTTTTGCGACAACATTCGAAAACTTAATGGAATGTAAACAAGACAATAAAAATCGTTACTTGCGTTCGTGATGAATCGCTTTTGTTGTATAAGTTCAAAATAAATGAAACAGCATTTTTTTATTTTTACTGACCTGGTTGACAGATGACCATTTGTTGTAATACGTACAAAGACAACAGAAATACGATAGCAATGAATAATATTGTTTAGATTTGTTTTTAAAATATTGTGTTTGTGAATTTTTATTCTTAATACTGTTCTTAGAGAAATATTAAAAATTAAATATTATTATACCTTAATTATGTCTAGATTCTGCTACATACTACTTAACTTAATATTGTTTAAAGTAAATATAAATTATGAAGAAAAAGTTGCATAAAATAATTATCATAAAGAGAAAGACCATGTGATAATAATTTGTGTGGCATAGAACATTTCTTACCCTTGCAGCTCAAGACAAAATTTTGAATGTCACCTTACCCCGTGTCATATCTGAAACTGAAAGTGTATTTTAGGTCTTACTTTTCTATACTATATGATTAAAAAAATTTCAGTTTAAAGGCGTGTGAGGCTCGAAACTCGATAAAAAGCCTTTACTTTCATCTTTTTGAATCATACAGTAAAAAAGTACAAAATCTAGTCAGACTACAGTCACATTATAAAGTTTGCAACAATATTATAATCATAATACAGTTATGTAAATCATATTTAAATGGTGAGTTATAGCTTCAGAAATGTTTATCATTTCCTTCCACATTAAATGAGTCGAGTTCCAGACAAAAAGTTTTCCCTTCCATCCGGACTTGTCGAAGTCGATTTTAAGGTCATTCGTAAACAAATCGGAATCTCGATAAAGAATAGCCCCCATTTGTTAGAACTATCTGGGACAAGTGTGGTGGAAATAGCGCATTTATTTTAAGCAATTTATTTCTATGTTCTGCAAGCGTAGTTGTTTCAACCAAATATTTCGTAAGTTCGGGCATCACCTTGTCTTCCATTTGAAACGATTGGATTAAAATGGAAAACACTTTTAAGCTTCTAATACAGCAACTCAATCAAAAAACGACACTGTCCGTGTTTATTTTTACACTAGTCGTGAATGTTTTATCGAAAAGTTAAAAATAACGTGACATAAAACCGATAGCACCAGCTCGGAAATCCATAAAATGAATTCTATTAGTAAAATATTTTATTGATTTCCTATAAAATTATGGCGCTGTCCAGTATCTATCCAGTTTTATCACCAAGGCTCGGATTATATGCAGTGGAAAGGTTGTAAAACATGCACATATGCACACAATAGGCAGAAGCGCATAGAAAACATTTTTTTTGTGCAACTGTCAAAAAAGTTACTTTTTATGTACTTCTGGGTTAGTTGCAGTGCTTTCACTAAACCAAAAAATTATGTAGTTATATCAAACGCCGAAATAAATGTCCGTTGTGACTGTAAGCGTGAAGTGGAACAATGGTTTAGTTTGAAGCTTTACACTTGTACATATGTGGCAGCGATAAACAAGAATAAAAACACTGTTTTTATTGGAATTGGTTCCACAACCAACGAAATTTTTTTAATGATAAATCAAGCGGTTGTATTTTTTCTGACAAATTGTGGTGTTTAATGGATAAATAGGGAATAATAGGAAAAATATCGTACACATAAATCGTCGTTCAGTTTGTTAGGATGATATTTTTATGTAGTTTTTTGTTAGAAAATTCATTTTTTTGTGTATATGTTTGTAATAGATCGAAATGTGATATTCTCGCGTTTTGCCAAAGTAATATTTCCGCTGATTATTATTTAAATTTATAAACAAATATGTAAAAAATAAAAGGAACGTGTTTTTATTTTTTTTTCTAATCGAACATTGACCGAAAATATTGTTTTACAGAACACACGTTTTTCATAAAGTCCGGCATTATTAATCACAACGTTATCCCGCGCTTAATTAAAATCTGCCACCCTTTCACAATCGATTTTTTACGTGGCGTTTGACCCCAAACGTACGACTATTAGTTGCAGCGAACTGTCACCCAATGCGATGTTTTTTATCAATCAACCCCGTCGAAAGTTTGAAGCCGGGTTGTTTTCCCTGCTGCGACGTAAACGGGTCGACAGGGTTTCAAGTCGAAAAACTAATATCGGACTTCTCGGTGGTAAATAATAGATGATGAAAGAGCAGGATTCTGCAATAAAATCTCCGAGAATGTGGACTAAGCACTCTTCGAAACTCGGAAAGGTACTTGCCGTGCGATTATAATTTACTACGTTTTTATGGGCGGTGTTAAAAATGTCTTGATTCGAAATTCCTTGCGGTTAAATTCGGTTTTAGTGCTGTGATGTGGAATTTGGAATTGTTAATAACGGAATGATGTAGCAGTTTTCTGGGGCTACATTGAAGAAGAGGGTTGTTGGAGGACTTTTCGTGAGGGATTATTCAGTAATGGAATATATTGTATTGAGCGTGTCCTGGAAAGTTTTGCACGGTTTTCGTCTTTTGTAAAATAAAAACAAGAAAGTGGAGGAGAATAAGTTTAATGACAAATTATATGCTCTATTGCGCTCTTTACGACTGCAAATTTAATATTATTTCCGAACAGCACACTTTCGTTTTTGCTGTTCGTACAGTCGATTCGGCATAAAGCTATAAAACTTTGGTGACACAGGTTTTGTATTTTCAACCCTATAAAAAAAGACTGGGTGTTTACTGGATTGCATAGTATTGCTTTAAACCGGTTTGGTCAGGTGGAAAAAGACGTAAGAAAAGTAGGGCAATAAATTAATTATAATTAAATTAGGTAAGAGGAAAAACGGAAGATGTATGGGTAATGAAAATGGGACAAGAAGTAAGGCCACTAATGGCGAATTACGGTTAACTAGTTCCGTAAGAGGAAACAAAGTACACATCAAAGACAAGATACAAAAGATCTTTTTATGATATTGTTACCAGGTAAAATTTTCATTTTTGAAATTAATAACAAACTAGAATGAATTTAGTTAATTGCTAATTTTGAAAGTTATGCTAATTTTAACATTCATGTCTATATAATCTTAATGTATACTAAAATACCAAGAGAGGAATGAGAACACGACTGTTTTTGATTAGATGATTAGTCATGGATGATTGAAGATTTGTCTTTGATGGAAGTTTTGTTTTGTCAATTGGAAATGTTCTAGTTGAAAATGCATGGCCGTCTTTGATCGTTTTTCATTGCTCTCTCGGTATATTATAACGTGCGATCAAAAATAAAACGCCTCTAGTTACTGCTCAATGCGTAACCATGGATGTGTAAATATTTTTTTGGCCTCCTGACATGTAAACGTCAAATTAACATTCAAATGACATCTTCGGAAACATCAAATTTACAGTCATCCTGGATGTTTACCACCCGGCGTGCGTAAAAATTGCCCAAATTGTCTGCTCTTCCTAGACGTTTATAAATAAAAATCTCTTTACACAACGAAAATATAATGATTAAAACGCCAAATACATAAGTTATTTATTGTTGAACAGCAATGTATCATATAATTTCGAATATTTTTTAGTTCAAACGGAGGTACGCCATCTTGTGTATTTTTGTGCACCAGTTACAGATCACTGTAATTGACATATTCATTGACAGTTATGTTTGTTTTATTTCTGAGTTTATGTGAAATTTAATAAAAAATATAAATAATTTTTAAAAATTGTCGGCCAAAAAGTTTAATACAAATCTTGTGCGTTAACCATTTTACAGCGCTCAATCATTAAAGCACTCCGGCTTCGCCGTCGTGCTTCAAATTTATTTCGCGCTGTAAAATGTAAGTTACCACACGCGAATGTAATAGTAATTTACGCAACTAGTTCGGGATAGCCTGCTTCCCGCATGAACGCTTGTTTGAGGCACGACCGAAGGGAGTGCCGCATTTGCGTGAATGCGGGAAGCAGGCTCACGAACGTGTTGTGTACAATATTTTTTACGACGAATAAACCTTTAAACTGAAGAGATTAACTGTGAGTTATTTATAAACAACGCCATTGACAGCGCCGTCAACACGTCACAATGTTGACACTACCCGAGTATTTTAAGGTTACCATGGTAACGGGAAGTTAAATGCACGTGTGCGGGAAGTTCGACCTCCCGCACTCTGGTGAATGCGCGAAAGCTATCAAAAAAGGTCATGAGTGCAAAAATAACTTTTTCCTAACGGCGTGCGGAAAGTGACTAGTTTCCGCACGCTAACCCGTACGAGATGTGATACTTTTTCGCACTAGTGCGGGAAATAAAATGTAAGTACATGTCAAAGATTTATTGATTAATGATTACAACTATTTATATTAAATGTAAAAGAACAATTTATATAGTTATTTTTCTCATTGCTTTCATTTCGATCTTTGTCTTCAGTGGTTTTCATCTCAAACACTCTGCTAACATTTGCTGCCTTCGCTTCTGGGTTGTTCAGATCCAACTTCAGCTTCTTTTTATCGGTGACAGTACAACTGTTGGGCCAATACAACTACTTCTGAAACTTTCTTTACTTGCTCTGCTTCAGCAACTATATCCGACGGAATAGAATCGCTAGAGGAATCTTTGTTTCCCATATTCAATTGAACACGCAAAACACAACACGATTAGGTATTATTGACAAATATTTTGCGAAAAACTTGTTTGTGTTTAAACAATTGCATTCGTAATACCTTGACTACTCGACGATATGATTTTCCATATACTTATCTAATACAACCATATTGCTAACTGGCCTCAAAAGAGTCCGAAAACACAACGGCAGAGCAATCGGACCTCTCTGTCTCTTTGTGGTACCAAATAGTACTGCGCATACACTCGTACTTGCTTGATCTGTAGTCGATAGCGTGACTGGATGCCTTTTGACATTTCGTACTTTCGCTTTGTGTACATGCGCACATACCCTCGGTACTCTTATAGACAGAAAACAATATCTTCCGTGTCTCTTTGTCCGTGAACACCGTTTCTATGTTACTTCTGAAGAGTTATCAGTAGTAGTATTAGATATATGTAATTTTCTAATGTGCTGCGATTTCTAAATATGACGAAAATCTTAATTGCTGAAAGATCTAAAAGACGCCGTTAGGAAAAACATTGTTCCTAATGTGCGCGGGAAGTGTGATTCGGAAACTCGTGCAAGTACCGAAAAAGCACTCGTTTCGGAATCGCTGACTTCCCACACTTGTTAGGAAAATAACTAATTCTAGTACGTGTTACATGTAAACAATTAGATATAATATATCCATTGCTTTACTGATTACACTTGAGTCAAGGAATTGTTAAAGCTAAATTATGGAAAGTTTATTTATTACAGTGACATTTGCAATTTTGGATAATAATTATATTGAAAAATTAAGCTCGCGAATATTTTTTTTCTTGCGGTTACTGACGTCTGTGATTTTTCTTAATTCAATTACGAGCATTTCCAGTTTTATCTATCCCTGTTATTGATCCTTTTCTAAAAGTGTTACTTAATTTTTTGTCATTTTCATTTA